TTTTACATTTGCACTCATTGTGATATCTTTTAAAACTTAATTCTGGCATTAAAGAGTGTTCAAAAACACTCAGAAGTGAAACAAGGAAATTATTTTCTTCTTTCCACAAGAGTCTGCAATAGATTTATATGACTGCAGCTTTGCTATAGGCAGGAATAAAATCAACATCTTCCAGATATTTCAATCTCTTGAGTTTCCTTGCTTTTGTACTGGCATTATAAAAATGATGAATTTCACATGGTTCAAACGTGTTAGTGCAAACTCACACAGAAAATGATGCAATCTTTTAACAGTACTGGTTTATACTTATTGTGTAATGAAACTATTAGCTCTGTTGGGACTATTTCCTGCAGTCCCAGCGTTCACCATCTTCAACTCCATAATCACAGCTGTAGTGAGTACATAGAATCACTTCAAATTATGCCAAATTTTGGCCTATCCTTAAAGGGATATTCATTTACCTTTGGAAGGGGAGGGGTCACATATCCTGGGGAAAATCATTTTTAAAAGCTCTTTCTTTAGGAATGCCATCTTTGAAATGTTTTCATAGTGTACCTAAAAGCTTTAATTACCAGGGTATGAGAGTCGATACTCCCTTATCTTGTCCTGAACAGACAGGTCTAATGGCACTTAGCAATGATGAACGATCTCCTCACATTATAGCTGAAGAAAACTGTAAACTAGAAGCCACTCTCTGTAGGAGATCAAAGAAAATCCATGCCATATTTACATAAAATGACACAGGAAAGATAGTATCACAGAGTTTCATGTTTATCATTTTTCAGTGACTTCAGGCTGGACTAGATCAATTCCCCATCTCCTATCTCCTCCTCCCCACCCTCCCACCCAAATCAAACTGTTTTATTTCTGTCTTACTCTCTTACCAAAAGAAATAAAACTTCTGCTATTAGACCTACCCAAACCCAGTGTCTTCACTGCTGTCACAGAAAACGGTTCTATTTTTGCTCTTGCAGAATAATACTGCGGATGCACAAGTCAGAAGAGAATCTGCTGAGATCTATGCTAATTTTTGCATTGCTTGTGGTAAAAAGATATGGGTTTTTTTGCTAGTATTGCTGAAGTTCGCTGATCTGATTTGAAAGAAGGATAGAAAAAGGGAAACACCATATGTCTTTCCACAGTAGGATCATAGCTAAATCCCTTTTCAAACTAACACATATCCAGAGCCAAATGTTTACAGCAAGTCACTAAAGCTAAACGATTAAGTTGTTAGAAGCTCAAAAGAGCTCTAAAGTAGAGACAAAGAATAAGGATCTTCACTCTGAAAACTAGCTTTAGTGTTCTCTAAAGCACTTAGAGAGACCTCCCAAGGCAGCTACATTCTCCAGCAACCAAGTTCTTAGACTAGCTTAGGATGCCCTTGCAAACTGTTTAGCTTTGATTCAAAAAAGAATTTAAGTAGTTGATGATCAGTCATATATGCTGAATCATGACCTATGTTATGGTTGCTTATTCCTTTCAAAAATACATTGTTATTGATGTGTGCTATAGAAGCACCAGTCACAATTTCCTAATTTATTCAGGCAGGATTTTGTTTTTGACATGAAACACATGGCTGCATTCCGGATACTTGCCATAGTACTTAAGGTAAAGCTGGGGATTATTGCAGTGTTTATATTCAAGAGATATATAAGCAATTCAGACTGCCTACCATCCTGCACTGCCAAATCCCCTTCTTACAGTCTCTTGAAGGAGTGTAGGAGTTACAGAAGTTGAACCTGTATTTAAACTACTAGATGTAAATGAGTAGGCAATGCTGAAATACTAAAGCAAATAAACTTCTATTAAACTAGTAACCATCTTGCAAGATCCCGCATATGGCGGTTGGTCTTATAACAGCCACCTCCAGGAGAAAAAACAAAACAAACAAAAAAACAAAAACAAAAAGATTTCTTCTTTAATTATAGTACCATCTCATTACAGAATGGTCTCATAACCCCCAACTTAAAATGGGGAAAAAACTCATTCAGTATTCCACAAACTGGATGCTCAGCTGGGTTAAGTTAGCATGACTCTAGTGACTACTGTGGGACTCTGCAAGATCCTTTGACTTTAGCTAAGGATCATATCCTCTCATTTTTAGAGAATGAAGAAAATCTCATTAAATTCATCTAAAAGGACTACCAGCCCAAGAGTATTCATTAAAACTGCAGCACACGTTCAAAGGAAGAATCTCTCTACCCCTGTATCCTGTTTCCCACAGTCTCAACAGACACTTTTAAAGAGCAAGCACAGCACAAGCATATACTATATTTACCACTAAAACCCTCCCAACCTCCAAGGATTTGGAGAGCAGGGGAAATCCCAAGACAAAGGGATTTGGTCGGTACCAGTCAACAAATCTGTCTTCCATAGGTTTATATAGATATACCTTGAATCTGTGTAAACTTTTTCTATCCATATTCTTTGGAGACCTCAACACTTCTGTTTCCAACAGTGTGAAGGACTACTACCTTCTGCTACTTCATAACACAGCTTCTGAGGTAACTACTGAGCTGCAGCCATGTTCACGGTACAGAAGGATGCTCTTGTGAGCTGATGAAGGTTGCCCCTGGTGTGACTAGTAGGGATTGCACATCCACTTCTCATCCCCCAGCCCAGGAAGCGCTTCTGAACAGAGCCAAGTGATCTGCAGGGGTTAAACCCCACAATTTAAGCAGATGTGAAATTAGGTTGGTTTAAAGGGTATAACAGATGCACTTCCAGCTCCTTGAAGCACTCCAATTCCTTTCCCAACCCAGTCGCCCCTCCCTTTACTCCAACATGTAGAGTAACCACTCATGGGTAGCATGAACCACACTGACAGGCGAGACTAGAAAAGAATCTCAGTGGACTATGGTAAAAAAAAAAAAAAAAAAAAGGGGGGGGGGGGGGATTTTCCAACTTTTTTTTTTTTTTTTTTTAAAAAAAAAAAAAAAAAAAGGGGGGGGGGGGGGATTTTCCAACTTTTTTTTTTTTTTTTTTTCCTTTCAAAACGGAATCCTAGAAAGAGGTTAGAAACTAGCATCTCAAAAACAAGGAGAACTTCTGTATTTGGCGTCATGGAAACTGAGCAATAGCAAACAGTTACAATTCTCTGTTACTCCAGCATTTTGAACCAAAACTAATCTATCCTTATAGGGAAGGAAAATCCTTTTTCATACTTACAGGATGTCAAACGTGAAATGACAGCAAGAAGAAGAAGGAAAAAAAAAAAGGAGAAAAGCTGAAGAATTTCCACTTGCCTCAAAGCAATGGCACAAGATAGCACAGCAACAGATGCTCTCAACAGGACAGGGATACTGATGAAATGCAGAAGTCACTTCTGGAGATGATGCACGCATAGTTTGTTTGTTCTTTTTTTAAAGCAAAAGTTTCACATGTTAATATAGTCTTATGCAGACTCTCAGTAACTACATTTTAGGAACAGCAGTTAACACAGGAGAAGTATCCATGCATACACTTCCTGTCCCAAATAGGCCAACAGAGAAAAAAAAAACATAAGGAAAAGCTTCAGAATTCTCAAACCCAATAAAGTTTCCATAGTAACATTCTTGTTTGGTAGGTATCAGAGAAAGTCAGAAGTTGTATTTGGGCTTGAATATTTCTTAGCAGCTTTATCTTGCTGCACTTTCATTTTTTCTTTAAATGATGTCACTACCTAAAATGCTTTGATTGCTGTAAACGATACTTTTTTTTTTTTTTAAAGTAGAGCATAGGCACAGAAAATGAATCAAAATATTTATAAAAACAGTCTTTAAAAACATTTCTTTAAAAAATGCTAAAATTTTTATTAAAAATTTTATTGAAGTTGATACTTTATAAAACAGAAAATAATTACAATATAACCACCATTAAAAATAAAGCTTATAAAAGTTAAAAAAAGAGTCTTGCTCTACATGTCCTTTGGAGAAGTCGTCATTTTTGCTGCCTAAAAGTCCCTGATTCAGGCAGAACTAGAACCTGAAAGGCAACCCATGAGAATATACCCTTCTCAAAAGGGTAAGAACATTTCAGTGCGACCACCAGAACTGAATGGAAACAGAATGAATTGCCAAGTAATCAAATTGCAAGCAAGAAATAGTTGAGAATGATGCACCATTTCAGTTCACACTCTGAGCAGGAGGCTGAATCTGCAGAGAGCTTTGGGTAAAAGAGAGAAATTCATACTTCTTTACGACATTTCAAGCTTGAACTTTCAATAACAGCCTGTTCAAGAAATACTTGCGATGAAACTGAGAAGGGAATGTCTTGGGGTCACAACAGGCTGACAGCAATCTACGCTTTAGTCCACACCTACTGCTACAGCAATGAACAGACCCTATGTAAACTGCTAAAACTCAGGGACACATACAGGTGCCAAGAAAGGAAAGGTACAGGATCAGTAAAGGGCAGATATAAGTACAGGGCAGATATGGGCAGTACAGACATTTATCCTCTCCCCTCTTTGATACATGCCAGAGATCAAATAGAATCCTAGGATCATAAAGGTGGGAAGGGACCTCTAGAGATCATCCAGTCTAAAACTCTTGCATGTGCAGGGTCACCTAGAGCATGTTACACAGGATTGAGTCCCAATGGGTTTTGAATATCTCCAGAGGAGATTCCACAACGTTTCTGGGCAATCTGTTCCAGTGCTCTATCACCCCCACCGTCAAGAAACTTTTCCTTAAATTACACTAAGGAGTATCTCATTGACTTCATGATCCATGTGGTAGACCACTGAGAACTGTAAACTGTAGGACTTCCTGACCAAACTACCCTAGAAGCTGTTTTGCTTACAACAGCCATGATTTGGATGAGATATACACCTCTACTCCTCCCTATTCTTCAGGCTAACCTTTTGCCTTAGTGGAGAAGTCCAGCGAAAAACAAGAGTAAGACTCCACATCCCATGTGACTTGTAAACAAAACTGAGCATATTATGGTGACATTCAACATTATTCTTTGCTGCTCAAATCCATTAAAACCAAGTGAGCCAAACAGGTCCGCGGCAAATGTCATCCAGTCAGCTCAGCTATCACAATTCCATATGGGTCAAGTTGTTGCGTTTTTCAAGTTGCACAGAATCTCTGCTGATTTTTGTAGAATCTTCAGATCTTCCAAGCGCAGAGCTTCTACCAAAGCCAGGTGATCTTTCAGGTTGTCTTTGTCCCTTTTCAAATGGGAAATCTGAAATTTATAAAAATGGTAAGAAATTACTTAATATTCACATTATTTAATGTAAGACAAGAACAGACAATTTTGGAAAGATAAATTCTGATAAAGATTCTGTGCAACCATCTTGAAATACAGCATGTTTATACCATCCATGAGAATAACTGCAGAAGGAAAAGAAAAATGGAAAACATCATCACATGGATAGGAAGCACATTGGAACTAAGAACACAAAGGGAGATGGAAAATGTCAACCTGACATCAGACTCTTAAGCCCCTATGAGCCTCAAGACATGGCCCACAACTCAGGCTCACATTCTGCGCATATATGTATTTCCTTTGCAAAAACAAACAAACAAATATATATGTATATATATACATACACATACATTTTCATAACTCTTTTCAATGACGACAATCCAGCTTGACATTATGTACTCACGTTTTGCTCCAATTCAGAAAGGAAGATTGTTTTTAAGAGTTGTTACTTCATCTTAGAGATCAACCGTAGAGAGGCCAGCTCACAAGGATAGCTCATTTGGCTTGATGGGCTACAAAGAGCATAGCCTATCTTCTGCAACAAGCACACCTCACAGCAGGTCTGCAACGTCTTCTGTTTCTACCCTATGTGAGCCCACATTCCCTTCTAAGGGGTTACCCTCCACAAATTCATTCACACGGTGGGCAACAGAAGGTTAAACATGTTTAACTTGTTCACAGAGCTTTGCATAAGCGGTGTAACATGATCCTGTTTTCTGAGGCGGCTTGAAATTCTGCTGAGCAATTCACCAATTACCATGGTAAACAAGCCTCTGTCTCCCCAGGGAAGTCAATACCCTGTCCTTATTCTGTTCACACACCTGAAAATTACTCTACTATACATTTACACTAGGAGAAAAAGGAATCTTGGCTACCTTGTTCCTCTAACAAATTACCTGAAGAAGGACGTGCTGCGTCTCCTCTATTAAAAAATGACATATTTTTTCTGTTACGTTCAAAGTCTGCTCTTCATTTGTGGCTGAAATTACATCACCAAGCAGCGTTCTCTTCCAGCAAGTACTAGAACCAAAACATTCAAACAACACACAACTATTTGCTGTTTCCCTACTGAACAATACACTAACAGTTATGCTAAGACATAATGTCGCTGATGGAAGGTTAGCACAAGTAACGTTAACGTAAGTAAAAAAAGCACACAGCATTCAGACATCAAACTAATAATGTAAGGAAAATAGAAGAGAGATTTAACGGTGTGCAGCACCAGCTCCAAACGCTGCAGGAATGACACTTCACCACCACCCTCTCAGCCATGGCCAGAGTGTGCACTTAGACTAATACTTCAAGGCCTTGCTTCTCCGCTGTGCTACCTCCAACTTCACCAGCCCAGGAATAAGGAGTAAAGGTTAATAACATTTGGGTAAAACTTATTAGCATAGCTTCTGCTAAAAATCGCCTCCATAATGATGCACTTCAAGGGCTTTACCCACCACAGTGTCACAGGAATTTATTTGTAGATCAACTTACTCCGCTCAGCAATGAAACTTCAAAGCACAGATAGTCATCCAAATTATTACTATTTTTTTTAATTATAACAAAAAATATTCAGATCACCATTTTCTATCAATGTTGGTTGAGCCAAATTTGTCATTTGGAATAAACGACCAAATCTGTACTGAGAGCCACTGGAGAAGACCTCCAGCAAGATATTGAGTCCTGGAATTTCAGAAGCAGTCTCTGGAACACACACCTCAAAAATCAAGCAGGGTTAATAGCACTTACAAGTCCCTCAAGACAACAAAAAGATGGTCTGGAGTCTGAACCTTAAAGTTATACCCACTTCTTGAAATGGATAGGGAAAAAGTACTGGAATCCTAGTGTTTAAAACAGGAAAGTAAAAGACCAAAGAAACAAATAGGCCATGATGTCACATTATATAATCTCTGTGGCCTTTCTTCATTGCCTCTCTCACTTGGAGTCGATGAGACTGTCACAGAAGAAGATCCAAAACAATTATCATAGTATCTCATACGTGATGTCAGGAAAGAAGAAGTAAAGGAAAATAAAGCATGCTCATTTTCTGAACATTTAGAGAGCTAAATGCTGATGAATGCTTACAATTCATCTTCTCGTAGATTTAGTAACTTGAGGGCTGTAAGGAGTCTCCAAGATGGTCCATCCCACCCAAAGGTCAAATTTCTAAAAAATGGGAATTTCAACAAACAAAAAGTACATGTGATCTTTTATAGCATGACAGCCATGTTCCTGATTAGATAAATAATTTCTGGTCTAAGGGAATACAGGATTCCCTGACTCCTGTTAATCTGCTGCTCTCCACAGCTAGGAGACAGCCTGTCTCAAGCTTTGATATTGGCATTTACCACTTCCACATGCATGCTCTTCTGCAAACAGCAAATGTATCAGTTTGTTAAAAAACAGATAATTATTTTATGCTGAGTTCTGACAACAGAAGCAAAATTTGACTCCCTCAAAAAATGAAATGAAAACTCACACTGAAACAGATACATACTGTAAAAAATCGTGATTCCTCAGAATAGAAAGTTTTGCATTTCTCTGGTTATCCAGTGGTGGAAAATATCTGAGAAGAGTATCTGCATAAAAAATATATTAAAAATAAATAAATAAATGCTATGCAGGAGAAATCACCATCTTAAATTGTGACATAACATTTCAGCCATATATCCCAAGTGACTATGGACAAGACCAATAGCTGTTAGATTTGAGTGAACCTAAATATAATCAAAAGTTAATTTGAAAAGTGCTCGCTCACTCAAAAGTAATAAATGATCTGCAAGACTGTATTCCTATAACAGAAATCCTGACTTATGAAAAGCTCAGTTCTTCAGGACTGAGACCTCAATCTTGAAGTCAATGATAAAGTTTAAGAAACACAATTTTAGAAAAGATGAAGTTACCCAAAAAAGCTAAATTGGAAATCTCCATTCTCTAAATTCTGTGCTGTTCAAACTGGTATCAATCACTATTCTATTTTCTGGAACTGAAAAATATTTTGATTGTATTAAAATTATATTTAACAATGCTGTAATATGCATTGAGCATATGCTCACTGTGCATATAAATGCAAGTGTGTGAACTTTTTCACTGTCCTTTTTTTATTCCTTTTACCCAGATCTTCTTTTGAAGTGATGCAGTATTAACTTGCTCAGATACTGCTCTCCACTCTTCTACCTTTCAACCTATAAATCTAACCTGATGATACATAAACACTGCTGTGTGGGTTATCAGTAGTAACAAATCCATATTCTAGGAGGAGTCGCTGGTTATCATGAGGCCCATAGCAGATAAAAACTTCTTCATATTTCTTGCACTGTGTATTTGTCCTAATTTCATAGCTTCTGGTTTGTTCATTAAATGCAGCTTTTACCTTTGAGAAATTAAAAATAAGATATTTTACTTTACGGCAAAAAGAGAGGAGAAACAAGGTAGTTAGACCTTGATCATTACAGATCAACTGTATGGATCTCTTCTCTAATACTATAAAAAAGGATGCAAATATCTAGTGTTGCAGATGTCTGAACAGGCAACTGATTTGAAGGATTCCACACTAGTATTACTCTATAAATACAAATATGAGGAACAAACATCAAAATTCTCGTCTGCAAGATTCACCAACCACCTGTAGACAGAAACCCCAGATACACAAACAACAATGCAGAGCTGGCCGCTTTTGTGCTATCCTAGATCTGTGCTGACAGACAGTCCCTGCTCTGTACTCCTCAGCTGAGCAGCTACTCATTCTCCTCAGCTGCTCTGAGCCCAGAGTCAAAAGGACTATGTAAGTCTTGTGATTTGTCATAGGACATGAGCCTTTTGGGAAAACAGAGGTGAGTTATTAAAATTCTTCCTAGCTATATTGCAGCAAATCTCACCCAGCCATTGGGTGTTGTTCCCATATCCCCCATATCTCTGCTTCACTAAAATCTTTGAACCATTATTATTCAGCTATCCCAGGCTGAATAACAAGTTCCAGGGTATATACAAACTCCCAGCCTGCTGGCATCCTCCAGACAGACTCTGCCATCTCTCACTGATCTCCCACTTAATCCATCACATACATGAATATTGTACAGAGTCAGTGCATTTACAAATAAAGAAATGGTCTATTTTTAGTCTCTTACCTGAACGCTTGGGCTGTGGTTTAGTAGATCTAAATATGGTGCCAAAGCATAAACATCTGGCTCAAGAGAGAAACATTCCCTCTGTGTATGTTTCATGTATACTGTTCTGGTATTAACAGTGCACCAAGCCCACTCTAGGGTGCTGTAATTAAAAACAGTCTCTATGTTCTCAGCAAACAATGGCTTCAGGGATGAAAAAAAAGCTTTGGAAGACACATACAACTCGTGGACCGTGGTTCTCTGCTCCCAAGCCTTCTTTCTTAAAGGTTCAGGAAGAAGGCTGACTACTTCTTGCTCCATACAAACAGGACAAGTGTACGTCTTGGGCAAAACGTCAAGATAGGGCTTCCACAGAGATTTATCAGCAGCATGCTTCTCTGCTATTAAAAATGTGCACAGTGCAAGCAAGGGAGATACAGGAGGCTTCCATCTATTAAAAAACAAAATAAAATTACCAATAGAGAGGATACACAGAGGTAAGACAAAAACGGCTGCAATAATATTTTCTCTCTTTTCTAGTACTTTTAAATGTTACAAATAGCTTCTACTTTAAACTTATTTGTATTTCACCTTTAAATCCTTTTGATGATTTCAAAGGGACTTTTTAGTTCATTTTATTGAGAAACTATAAAAGCCGGCTTGTAGTAGCAATTTTAGGTTCATTACTTTTTTTGTTGCTTTTTTTTTAAAGATAGCAAACAAGTACTCGTTGTCCAATACAGGCCTTTGTTCTGAACTTTTTAAAAGAATGTATTCATGCAAGTGCTTTTTAACCTCTTTTTAATCCCTTCTCTTATCGAAGTGCATTCAAAGATTCCCAATAAATCATTCACAAATGGCTGAAGTCATTTTGTTCCTGGCAGGCCTTAGCAGCAGGCCAAGTTCAACCCTCTCTCCAACTCTTCCTAGCTAAAATGGACTGGTAGATGTCCAAATCTTTCTTATTCGAGCATTCCACGCACATGAAAGATAAGAAATACTCCTGAAAGTTAAGATGTGCAGTTTAAAATCCTACCTCCACTTAAGGTGATTCATCTGCCAAAGAGCAACCCACAGGAAAGGCCAACTGAGAAAGTCTTGTTTTATTTTCCTGTCAGAAATGTCACTTTTCACTTACTTTTTAATGTATTCTCCTAAGGAGCTACTAAGGACAGTAGCTGTAGTGAGCAAGCATTTCTCAGGCAATGAGATAACCAGTTCCCCTGCCTATGAGGGAAAAAAATACATATAGAAAACAAATAGCACACATACAAAAAAATAGTTAATGTTAAATGCAACTGGCTCTTTTAGTACATGATTTTTGAAAACATACTAATGTCAAGAAGCAAAAGGATGTGATATCCAACTTGATAGAAACTGGATGGTTTTAAAACAGCCTCAGTCCAGGAAAGGAGGATGGCTGCAGTCAGTATGAATTGTCACTGGTAGAGTTAGCTGTTCACAGAGTCACCAAGTCACTCAGCATCACCATCATTTTCGCACAAAGATATATTGTAGAACAGATCTTACCCAGACATCTATCAGCACACCAGTATGGGAAGATATTAAAGGTCATGTTTATCTTGTCCTTGTTCACCAAGCCTGTGTCTATGTAAATAGCTTTCCTGTCTGCTTTAAGCCATGTGTCCAGCCTCATAGGAAGAGGGCACAGATCAAGCCAGTAGTCTTCCCATTCTACACCTGAGTTTCCCTATCTGGTTCAAGCTCAGATAAGCTCGCATTTCATTCACTCCACCCTCCTAGCACTGCACCTTCTGATATCAGATATCTGGTGTCACTGATTGCCTTAAACTGTAACAAGAAACTGAATGATAAATTGTTGTAGAGAGGACAGAAGTGACTTTATACAAGCCTTCAAAGCACACAGGATCGTTTAACAGATTGTAACTGCAAATTCTGGTATTAAATGATAAAACTACATCCATCAGAGAGATCCCAAAGCCCTTTCCTTGTTGCAAATGCCACAACATCCCAGAGACCTCAGAGAAGCTCTTGCAGAAAGAGTGAACATTACAAACCTGAAGGGCTTTTGTTGTCATCAGTCCTCTTCCTGTATCTGAAGAAGAAGGAACAAAAAGAAGGCTTATAGTAAAATACAGAAGACTATAATAAGCTGCAGAAATTAACATGCCTGCAAGGCAAACTCTAGAAGGGTATATTTACCTCTATCAAATCATAAAAGCCACTTATGAGTTGTTCCAGATAACAGCTCATTACTTTATTCTTTAAATCTCTTTTTACTTTTCTGCTACTTTTCAGGATCCTGGAACACCCATTTTTCCAATACCCCCAAGAACACTTGCTGTCCAATTTAACAGATTGCTCACCTTTTTCCCCACTTTTTCTTTAAACACACCCTTCGTCACCTGCTATAACTTCAGGCTTTAGCTTTAACTGTACCTTACAGTTTCTATTCACTGTTTGCCTGACTCAAATATAATACTACAAAAGTTTTTGAAATACAGGAGGAAATACAGGGAGAAAATGTAAGGACATTTATCTTTTTTGTAAAGTGCCATGTGTCATCCTTACTAAATGAATCCCATCTCTACAGCAATTTACTTATTCGTTAGATATCAAAGATCTGTTGACTGACATGCAAAGAAAAAAAAAAGGATGAAGAAATGTTAACAAGGTTTGGTTCTAAATGTGAAAACACTTAAGAGATACTATTTTCTTCTAGATAACTGTGTCATTAACATTTGAAACCTCAATTTTTACAGAGAATTCTGCACAGGTCTGCATGTTCTTTTAGCAGATTCTCATCCTGAAGCTTTACACAAGACTATCTTCATACAAAAAACAGTTTACAGTACTTTGACGTATCTTCTCATTCACATTTAACAATATTCCTGTGCTTTGAAAGAGTAACAGCAACAAAAGACATCCAAGTAGGAGATTTTAAAAAAAAGTAAGAATCTGATATCTTTAGAAGAAACAACAATATATATCACCAAAAAATTAAAACATTACCCCAGAACTCTGCTGGCCTTAAATTACTGTCCTCAAATCCTCTGTCTTTCAGCCACTTCTTTAGTTTAATGTATTCCAGCTTGTGACTACTGTTCACTTAAAAGTTAAAAAAAAAGTTGATTATTGCTATAAAATATCATTCTAAGGGAAAAACAAAAGAAGTCGGAAAACGTTATTGTATGTCCAGAAAACACATGTTTGGGGCTTTTTAGCGTAAGACAGCAGGACAGTAAAAAGGCTCCCCTCTCATTAGCTTGCTAAGTTCTAAGCCTCTGGAAACTGGGACTGTAGGACTTACTCAGCACACTCCAGGGCCAAGGAATTTAAGAATAACATAGTACTTCCCATTAGCTAGAAAATAGAGCTCACACTGTTCACATGCCCCAATAGGGACTGTTTATTGATGGCACAAATCTTTGTACAGAGAAAGCTGGCATTGATAAATGTTATTTTCAGAACACAAATATATTTGACAAACATGCATCTGGACAAGCAATTGATTATTTTATTATTTCGCTTTGCTTCTGGGGATTTTACCTCCATTCATAAAACTCTGCAAGTGTTTCCTTCTTCTCTTTCGACCTGTCCGACCTCTGTTTTTCTTCATATTAAGAAGCAAGTTTTGCCTTATCTAGGCAACCTGAATTAAAAAAAAAAATCTCAGCTATAGAAATCAGATTGCTACCTGCTTAAAATGTTACTATTACACACACTGTTCTTTAAAGGTTAGAAAATATTCTATAAGCAAGCCTCTAAACGAAGGTGAATGATGAGGTGAAGGAAGAAAAGAAGGATTTACCATCATCTTGGCCATAGTCCTCTACAGGAAAAGAAATAGTGGTGTTTATGTACACAGAATTAAGGCATTTTTCAAACAGAGAATGTACTACAGTTTTTGAAAATTAACTGGCATATGCAGCCTCTGTAGTCTATTTCTTCTAACAAGTATAGCAGAATGGGGACAAAATGGGGTCCATGTGCAAAACAACAAAGCCCACGCATACATGATCACAAAACCCAGTATCATCTGCTACAATAACACTGCAGCTCAGGTAGTCAAACATGACTCGTGTTCATTCAATGTGTACGTGAGTGCCAAAGGGGCGAACTGCACAGGAAAGCAGGACGTTTTAGCGTCCCCGGACAAGGCCTCTCACTGCATCGCCAGGGCTCACCAGGAGGAGCCAGCGTTACCGGCTACAACCAGTGTGGCAAGAAACGGGCATAGGATCAGCAAAAAAAGATACCACTTTGCCACTGCAGCATGAGATCAGCAAAAAAAAAAGAAAGAAAGAAAAAAAGAAGAATAGGAAAAAAAGGCATATACATCCACTCCGAGCATCGCACGGGTCAAACTCAAAGCCTATAAATAGCGCGTCAGCCTCGCCACGCCACACAGTGACGAACCTTCCTCCCAAGGCAGGGCCACCTCTGACTCAAGGAAGCTAAGACGACGCCGGAGCGGTAAGAGATGGAGCCTCGGCAAGGCGGTTCCCCGCCGAGCCCGGCCCACCCGGACGCACCGGGTGGGGTCCCTGTCACCCCCACACACGGCCCTGCCTTTGCGGCCATGGGAGGAAAGAGTCTGTCTGTCTGTCGGTCGGTCGGTTGGTCCCCCGGTCGCGGAGCCCATCAGCTGTCGGAGCCCCCTGGGCTTAGCTGGGTCTTGCCCGTTAAGAAGGAAAACGGGCGCCGGGGAGCTGGGAGAAAGTAAAGCGTGTCAGTTTGCGACGAAATCGGGACGTCATGGCGAGCCGGGAAGGGAGAGGGAGAGGGAGGCTGCTTTGGTGAGGCTGTTCGGTAGCAGGGCAGGCGTTGCCCGGCCTCGTAGCTTTCACGTGTGCCTTTCCCAGCTGCTTAAGGCTTCTTGCTCGCACCCGCCTGCTCTTGGCTGACTACAAACTAATCTGGAGGGGGGAGTTGAGTCGAAAGTGAACAAAACAATGGTTTACTTGTTTGTTTGTTATGGGGAAAACAAAACTTCTTTAAGCATGCCACCTCTATGAGAAAAATAGCAATTTTATTAAGTGTGTATTGTGGCTAAAGCAAGAAATCTTAAGCAGAAAGAATCCTGTAGTCGATACACGCACCACTGTTTCCTTCTGGAAATGCTAAAACTAAATCTCTTACCTGGCACTTGGGGTTTAGGCCACTCCTCTGCTTTTCTGAGGCCCCTTCCCTACCCCCTAATATAATTCAAAATGGAATTCTAAATAGTAACTTTAGGAAAACATTTTAATCCTTTATCAAACCTCTACCTTTGTCTAATACAAGGTGAAATTTTCTTCATTTCTGTTACAGTTAGTCTAACTTTAGCATACGTTCAGAGAAAATGTCCAGCACCCCGGTGGCCGTGGTGACAGGGGCTAACAAAGGGATTGGATTTGCAATCGTGCGGGCTCTCTGCAAGCAGTTCCAGGGGGATGTGTACCTGACAGCTCGAGACCCTGGCAGAGGGCAGGCAGCCATGGCAAAGCTGCAGGAGGAAGGGCTGCATCCTTTCTTCCACCAATTGGATATCGATGATCTGCAGAGCATCAGAGCTCTCCGTGACTTCCTTAAGGAGAAATACGGAGGGCTGAATGTGCTGGTTAACAATGCAGGGATTGCTTTCAAAGGTAAGAAGCTGATTGTCTGGGAAGGTTCTATGTACTATAAAGTTGTGTGAAGAAAGATAATAGAGGCATGAAAGATTTTCTAAAATTTCTTATGCGGATCATTTGTGCCAGTGGCATACTATCTTTTTGCCTGGACAGGTTGCATGCCTTCTCAAGCAGAGCAAGAGGGTGAGGTCAAGTGTCTCTTCCTTTAGCATCTCATGGTCCAAACGTGCATGTGAAAATGTTTCCCTGGATGGTGGCAATTGCTTTGTGTACCTAGCATGAAAATAATTTAGGTGCACAGTCAGCATATGTGCAGGGTTGGGTTTATTGCCTCTGTGCCAGTGAGTTTCGCTAGGCCCATGGGAACTCATCTGCACAAATATCAGCCATGCTCTTCTGGGATTTATGTCTTCTCTCTTCTGCCCAGCCCTTTTACTTTTCTGCAAGCCTCCTGGCTACTGTGTTGCTCAAGGATTACAGCTGTTAAAAAAAGAACCTTCAGGCCTCTGTTTTCTTAACATTTTAACCTATCTTTGACTTCCTTAGGCCATTCAGTTACCAGCAAAGCAGTTAACCTAAATCCTGCTGAGCCACAGTCCTGAGTAAGAATTAACTACTTCATTCTCTAGCAGAAAAGAAGGTTGAGAAAGTAAGGGAGGCACAACAACTGTGAGGTAGAAGAGTGCATTTACCTCAGAGGTGGTCCCAAAAACAAGTGGAGAATCGTGTTAGCTCCAGAGGGAGCAGATCTTGAGCATGACCAATTAACAATTCATTTCTGTGTCAGTGGAAATTTATTCTTCTCATATATTCAGAGAGGGGTGGATGGAAACTTTTTCGTTTGTTTTGTTTTGAATTTCTTTGCCTGATCTCCAACTAGGACATGAATTATAGCATGAACTAGGGAGGTCTCGCGGGTAATGTGGATCAAGCCCCACACAGTGCGAAAAATGGAGCTCTTTGTGTGTTTGAAGTGCAGCTGCTCCTAATTTCAGTCACTCAGTAGTCTTGCTGCAAAGCACCATACACAAATGTTAAAGGTAGGCCCTAGAGAGCCGAACTCTTAACATAGTTGAGCTCTAAGATGAGCTTGTGACAGTGAGATGCTAAAACCTTGCAGCAGTAGCTAAGAGATTGTATAGCTGTTTAAGCATATGCTTCCAAAAACCTGCAGGCGCTCAGGCCAGTATTTGATTTGTAATCAGGGCCCTAGCTCAACCTGCTTGTGGCAGTGAGTTTGAGCAAGACTGGGCCGTCACCGGCAGTTGAATCCCTGGACAGCTGAAATAGAAACTCCTGCAGTTGCTGCAGCGGGGTTTGCAAGAGCTCCTCTGTGAGGCTTTAGTAACTGGCTGACTTCCTCTTGGGTAGGAATTGAACAGATAGACAAGTGAAGTATGGTGAGCAGTGGAGGTCTTGCTGCTTCCTTTACAACATCATAGATTTTTCTATTTGGAAGTTACCTGCAGGTGTTTAGCCTAGACTTTCTTCAGACTGACATCTTGCTGTTTGTCAGCAGTAGGTGATACAGTTAAGAAAGTGAAAGAAGAGCCAGTTGTAACTAGTACTGCATTAAGTATCTAGCACTAAGGCTGAAGGGCTTACATACAGCTGGCTCTGTTGCTTATCTTATTCTCTGGCTTTCACTCTAGCTTCTAAGATTCGCATTTCTATCCAGGTTTGCTTTCTGCCTTCCCAAGTTTGTGCTTGCATCTCAGACTTCATGCTTTTCTTTCTTTATTGTAGTATGTTATTACTGACATTACATTTGTCATTAAATTGTCAGCTTATTGTATTTCTGCTGCTGTACGTATAATCCAGCAAAATCCTTAGGCCAGCAAAAAAGCTCCTGCCCAAAATGGGGATGTGCTTGGGATTGCTTTTTGAGCGAAGCTGTCAAAACTGTCCTAATGCTCCCTAAGCCTAGGGAGATCAGATCAGATCAGTGAGATGTTATGTTTAATATATCTAGTTAGACAAATGAGCAGGTCTTTGGGTTGTAGGGAGGCATATATGTTGCTGAGTGGGTGTGAAAGCAGGAGTTCAGTATTGTCTGAGGTTTAGGTGTTTTTGTCCCTCCAGCTGTTGTAGCTCTTGCAATAAGTAGATCATGACCTGGTCTATGTCTCAGGTTTAAATGCAAAGTGTTGCAGCCTTTGATGGACTGCCTGTTGCTCAAGAGAGTAGACAAGTTGGTAATTAAAGCTGTGTTTTGCAGTAAAAACACAATTAAATTGAATACTGAATGACCTGTCATTGCTTTTTGTTTTTTTTTTTCTTTCCCAAGTTGATGCAGGACTGAGATATGTTCAGACAAGTGGAGACCTGTCTAATCTATGCAGGTGGCCTTTATCATCGCACAGATTGAATCTGTAGCAGATGAAGAGCAATCCTGTCACTTTGTAGCTCTTGCTTTACCCTTATTGTGGAGGAGCCTTGGCATATGGCTTTCTTGCTGAGCCAGTTTGTCAGTTGATGGCGCATCCTGCCCTGCTTTTGATGTTGGTAAGCTGTCAGTGTTGTCTTGTGAAATCAGTGCAGTTCTGTGGTCCAATTACACTGGCCTCAGTCAGCTCCCTTCTCTTTCCTAGCCACTAGTGCCTGCTCTTTCACTGTTGTCAGCACAGTCCTGCCAGCTCAGGGAGATGAATTATGGAACATGTTTACTGCTTTGTGTATGTTTTGTGTGTGTCTGTTTTTCTTTGTGTTTTGTTTTTTTTTTTTGTTTTTTTTTTTTTTTTTTTTTTTTTTTCCTTCAGACTGCACAAAATCTTGCCTCTGCATCTGATTTTCCCCTTCTCTCCCTGCCCAGGTTAAAATCTTCAGCTAAGAAGAGGTAAAAACATCACTGACCTGTAATTAAAATAGTTTTACATAGCTAGATTTTTCATTAAAAATGATAGTGATTTTTTTGTCTGTATATTTCAATTGCTCAAGTGTCATTTTTCTAATTAATAAAAAATAAAGAACTAAGATAAACTTTTGGTTTTCAGTAGTTCTGTAACTTCTTTCCAAACAGTATTTTAACAGTTTTCTTTTTTTTTTTTTTTCCCTTCCTTTCCTTGTTGCCATCTCTTATAAAAAGTTCTTGATCCTGCTCCGTTTGCAGTCCAAGCAGAGGTTACACTGAAGACTAACTTTTTTGGAACCAGGAATGTTTGTACAGAATTGTTGCCTCTTGTGAAGCCTTATGGTAAGTGTTCGGTTACACTTAACCGTAGAGAAGTTTCTCTACTTACTGTAGAGAAGATTTTATGTGAACTTTGCTGCTCATTATATAGGACAGGATTTTGCTATCTCAGAAGTATACTGTCCCGTAAGAGATACCTTGGTACATTGTAGATAAGAAAATAGTTTGTGGGATTTCTTATTGCAAATGTTCTCTCTTGTGTATGTACATATATGTGTGTATATATGGAAGTCTGCTTTTTGTCCAGTCCCGTTCTTCTGTTCTGGAGTGGAATTCTTATGGCACCCTTAAGAAGAAGTAGGAAACTTTTCTGTGTTCTATCTATGACATCTGTCTACATAAAGAGTTCTTAGTTAAGAAAGGACATTTTGAGGATGCAGGTAACATAAGGAAATACCTAAAAATAGAATTTCTATCACTTGAGTTTGATGTGACATTTTTGTTCTCATAGCTACTGTAGAAACCTGCTCTGCAGGCTTGTTGGTTTATGTCTAGAGTTGTGGCCTCTGGCTTGCATTTAGCGTTTTCAAGTATCAATAGATGTGTTATTGATAAGTATCAGTATGCTAGCAGAAGGTGCTAGCAATATGCAAATAATCTGTATTGATCAGACTACAGTCTTACACAGAATGCTGCTGTTTTCCTATCCTTGGAACACTGAAATGCCCTGGATTCCTCCTGATATATCTCAGATAATTTGAGAGGGATATTTTGTTCAAAGCCCCAATTAAGTTTAAAGATTGGGGTTTTCTTTATTTTTAATGCAAGTATTTTCAAGACTTGTGATTAACAGATCTTTGCATGCATATGTAAGTATAAGTTTTTGCTGCTCTACATAAAATATAGTCTGTGTTAATGTTTAAATTGTATTAAAAATAGCAGTGTAACAGTTGTAGAGAAGAGTAGTAGTTTACTGACCAGCTGATTGACCCGTCTGTGCTAAAATGGTGCGAGATGGATAGTACACTGCAGTTTGCATGCCAAGATCTGTAAATCAGCAGGTAGTTGGCATCCAAGCTGATGGACTCTCTGCTTTAGTACCCAGACTACTTTTGCTGAATTCTGTATTCTTCTGCCTTTTGGGGTACGTTCTTGTAGCACTTTATTCAGACTTTTGCAAAAGTGAGAAAGCTTTCCCACCAGAAAGTCAAGATTATATTTAAAGTCTAGCAGCTGTTACTGAGAAAACCATTTAGTACTATAAATATGCCTGTAGACTGCAAAAGGATATTTCATGGAAGCACACCTTCTTTCTCTTTGATAGATTTTGCAGTTTTGCTCCTTAAATTACCTTTTGCATTGGAATTCACTGGAAATATTTGACATTCAGTGAACTGTGATCTTCCAGAGGCTCTGCAAAACAGTCCACGTGAAATGTTTTATGGGTAGGCCCATGAGTAGTGACTATATAAATGTTCAACAAGCTCACTTCAATGCCCTAGCTTGTTTAGAGTGTGTAAAGTGATCAATTACTCTTCTGTCTCTTCTTTTATCAGGCAGAGTGGTGAATGTCTCTAGTGTTGCAAGTATCTCATCCCTGGCAAATTGCAGCAAAGAGCTTCAGCAGAAGTTTCGCAGTGACACAATCACCGAGGAAGAGTTAGTGAAGCTCATGACCAAATTTGTGGAAGATACCAAGAACAACACACATAAGAAGGAGGGCTGGCCAAATACTGCCTACGGGGTGTCCAAAATTGGTGTCACAGTCTTGTCCAGGATTCAAGCACGGATGATAAATGAGAAAAGGAAAGGTGACCACATCCTTATCAATGCCTGCTGTCCGGGGTGGGTGAGAACAGACATGGCAGGTCCTAAAGCCCCTAAATCACCAGATGAAGGGGCTGAGACCCCAGTTTACTTGGCACTTTTGCCTGCAGATGCTGATCGTCCTCATGGCCAGTTTGTTAGTGACAAAACTGTTCGAACCTGGTGAGCTTATGTGTGGAGCCACGTACAAGTAGTAGCGTCAGCGTGGCTTAGACTGTCTTGGCTGGGCATCTACCCAGTGCAGTCTCGTCCTGCCACAGCAGCCCCAGGGCAGTTGTCATTATGGTGAGGGTTAGGTTTGCTACTTCTCCAGGATCGGAACCACACGAGGGCACGCTTCCCAGCGCGCAGCAGTGTCTGGGACACAGTGTGTCTATTGGCAATGGTGCCAGAAATCCAATTTGTGGATGCTGCAGCCCAAGTCATATGAATTAATGGGGTGTTGCCCTAATGTAGATGCACTTGACCTTGTTTTACCTGAATTTATTCTTGATTAAATCATGGATAGCCCTTCTCTCACTCCTTTGAAATAGCCTACATCTGATACGGAGTTGGGAGGAGGAGGCAGTTGCCTTACTCTTTTTCAGTTCAATACATCTTTTTGGGGACAATATTTGCCTTTTTTTTTGGAGGGGGGGGCAGGTTAGGGGTTTTGTCTTAAGTGTTGGAGATTTCTCACTTTGCTACAGTCTGACCAATTTGGGAGAAGGTTGATAAGACTAGAACAGGATCGTTGCTTTATAGACACTCCTTACTATTGCAAAATAGAATTAGGTAAAAGCAAAAATATCAATGATGTATCATTAACAGAATAAATAATGTATTGACTTTATTGATGTCTATATAAACAAGTGTATATAAAAACATTGCTTGCTATTTTACATTTGTACAACTGGCTTATCCTAATACTAAACCTGTAATGTTTGTTTGAACATATCTCTACATTTTCTGTACCTAGATTTGTTGCTGGAATGCATGATGTTCAGAATATATAAAGAGAAATTTAACTACAAACTATTTTACTGAACTATTCTAAGACTTGCAGTTCATTTATTTCAGAATTGAAAGTTTCTGTATTAAAAATCTGGATTAAGTGCTGCCCATGTAGTAGAGAAAGTGAACTGTGAATGTTTTAGTACTCAAGCAAAAACATAAGCAGGGAAAGCAATGATATGGACCACACCAAACTTTGCTTTTTGTTCTAAATTTCAATGGCTGCATTTCAAGTTATTAACCTTGACAGGCTACCAGAGAATTTCAAGTTGTTCCTTGGGCAGGAGATCAGATATATGCCTGTATCTCTGTGGAACACTAGTGAAATCAAAGTGTCTTTCCATGTTTCCATGTGTTTGTGTTTTTTTGTTTGTTTGTTTTTTGTTTTGTTTTAAAAAAGTTGTGGCTCAGTGTACTTAGCCTAAATATGTTTAGGCCCACTTCTCCATGGGATTTCTGATGTGTTGGATGACAAGTTAAATTCATTTAGTCCTGCACCATTTTAAGAGTTTGCTGACCCATCAAGCAGTGACAAGCTATAGAAGAGCAGGGTTCAAAACTGACATCCTGGCTTGCAATGTCACCAACTCCAGGGTTGCAGATCATGAGCTCAGCAGGGAATATGGCTTAAAGTAAGGCTGTGTCTTCCTTTCATACTTGTATCTGCAAACACTGGGTTTGTTGAGAAGGCCTTATCCTTTTTTGTCTCTCTTTTAGTGAAAGCTGGTATTACACATAAGCGTGAGGCAAGGAGGAGCATTAACTAGGCAGGGCTTCAGCTGAAAGCGCTGAAGACAGTGGCCTTGGGCTGCAGCAGGGAGCAGGAACTGAGCAGGCTTCAGCCACTGCCAGGCTCCAGCCAGGCAGCTTGCTCCTCTCCACAACCTGCCCTCTGCAAGAGGAGGCTGCTACCCTCTTCCTTGGGCTGGGAGTTGGTGGAGGAGCAGGAAACAATTGCACATAAATCTGTCATTTTGGTAAAAGGCTGTTAATTCTTAACCAACAATCAAGAGATGATGCCAGAGTAGTGAGGTCAACTGTGGTTTTCATTGGTTTCTGTGTTCAGGGATCCTTAGGTCAAAAAGCATTGATATATATATATATATATATATATATATAAGTAATCAACACAGCACAAAGGGGTGATTATTAGCTGATCTTTTTAAGGATAGAGTAGCTATTGTTTTTATTAAGATGGCAGAACTGTCCCACAGCTAGCAAAGAGGTGGATGAGCACTGCCCTGAAGTTCTCATGTTAAGCTATTTTCCATGAGGGAAAAAAAAGTCTTACTGGTGCCCAAAATTTAAGGACAAGCGATATCAATTACATAATCCCTGCCTAAAGCTTTTTAGGCATTTTATGTACTACAAGCAGACTGCTTGCAGTATCATAGTTCCAAAAGCAAACACATCAGTAGAAACTTGGCTACTGGTCTGATGTACAGCAGAACAGAGCATGGTTTTGATTTGCTCTTCTACGTGTAGTTACTGATACCTTGGCAAAATAAAACTGAGTTGTTCTGGTTTAGTAGTAGTTTGTATGCTATTTTAAAAGATGTAATTCATCAGTGGAAAATGAGACCTACTTCTTCATATTTGAAACACTGTTTGGGTCACTAAATTTCAAAAGCCGTGTGTACTTGTAGTCTGCATGCATGAACTTCCCAACCGAACTCCTATCCAGACTTTCACAGAAGTCTGGATTGAAAGTCTGGAAGCTGGGAATGATGCTGGGGCTGTTCCTGGCTCGCAGTAGGGCATAGCTGTTTGTGGAGTGCAGAAGGCAGGGAACAGGACAGGGAATGGGCTGTGCAGGCTGCACGGTAGGCAGGCTGCGTTGCTGGACAGGGCTTGTATTGTTCTGCCATGTGGCTTGGTTGGTTCTGTTTTAAAAGCTGCCTCCTTGCTTCTGTCCCATGTCCTTTCTGTCTGCAGTGTTTTGTTGCTTCCAGATTCTGGCACGCTTGCAGAACAGGTATTGTATAAAGTTTAAGGAAAGTCTTAGGGAAGAGATGAAGTAATAACAGTCTGTTCTATTCCGTAAACCCTTTACATGATTTACTGCTTTTCTTTATCGAGGATATCACTACCATTTTCATTTTGGAATTTATTAGCCAAAGAAAATGTCTGGCAGTGCAGTAGCTGTGATGATTTTAGACAATAAGGGAAGTGGATTCACAATTGTGAGAGCTCAGGGGAGGCCGTTTCTTTGGGATGCCAAAGCTTGTGTGTGATGTGGTCAGGCCTCAGCAGCAAAACACTGGGAATGGAAGCAGTGTCTGCCCCTGCATCGTTTGGATAGAAACAGCAGGGCCTACAGGGCTTTCTCAAGGAGAAGTGCAGGGATCTGAGTGTGCTGTTCTGCAGAGCCATGCTTGGGAAAGCCAGTGATCAAAAGTATGGGAGCAAGCAGGAAGGCAACTGGTCTGCTCTAAACCCTCCAGCGTTAGAAGTGGATCAGAGCCAGATGGTTTCTATCAGGCTGCCCTGCAGTGAGCACCGTGCTTCTGTCACCATATGGTCCCAGCAGTAAAGAGGGCAGCAAGATGGAGTGCGGCGCATTCAGCCCTTTAAAACTGCTCCACATGGGCACCTGCAGGCTCTGAGGTCAACTTAACCGAAATGCGCAGAAAATATAGATAAGTTAACAACTATTGTTCTTCTTAAATGGTCTATTTCATTGTTTTTCTACATGCGTGACAAAGATGACAAGAACCCTGCAAATTTATTTACATCCATAGATAATTTTAATTGAAGCCAGCACTTAAAGTAGGACCACCCAACATACAGGCAGTGCCTGACTTTTAATGCTGTGGAGTTTAGGTATCTATAAATTAGGTATCTAATTAGAAAATTAGATAATATGGCCATTCAGTATTACTTGAAACATTTAAATACAAAACACAACTGAAACCTCATCTCACATCAGCCCTTTTTAACGTTTAATCTCAAACAATGAAAAAAAAGAGTAGCAGAAACAATGGTATTTTACATTGGATTTTTTTTTTCAGTTTTCCTTTTTATTCTGGGAAGACTTCATTTTGGAGTGGACAGTAAATGAAACTGCCAGCTGGACCAAGTTCTAGCCTTGGAGGCCAGTTTTTATTGTCTACACACTGCTTCACAAGGTTGGCTATTCACAGCACTGATCTCTCTGAACAAATAGTACCCAAACGAAAGCAGTACATTTCAGTACTAATGTAACTAATGTAAATGTTGTACACTTTCATGGTAGAAATTTAACACTGGAAAATAGGAGGGATATTTCTTAAAAAAAAAATCTGACAAGTGCTACACCATCGTAGTAGATAAAATAGACTTTTCTAGTGAGAAACAAACGCATTTATATCTATCTCACATGAAAGGTGATGTGAACGGTCATTAATTGTAATGTAGCCAGGCCATCTCCAGAGGTAACTGCATAAATAAATCTACTGCTTGATCCAATTCCAAGGACTAGGATGCCCTTGGGATCCTGGCAGTGCTGCAGTGGTGCATGTAGCAAATCGGGCTAATTCCTGGTATGAAGTCCTCAATGCTTGGTATTATAAGCATACTTTCAATTAACATAAATTCTGATTTTTTTAAAAAAAAAGATTCTGAGTTATTTTTTAGATGATGTATCAAGCAGCAGATTCATGAGCACCAGAGCTAAACAAGTTGACTGGTCTGGAGGTTGGCTGGTTTTGGCGCATGGTTTCAACACAGCTTACCACCAGCCGAGCTCTTCTGTGGTATCTCTCACTGAGGAGTCTCCAATGCCTACTACCGACTGACGTGGTGCTGCCACTGTTCCTCAGTGGGAGACTAGCAGGATCTCTCTCTTCTACCTGGCTGCTTATATCTTTGAAATTCTAGAAGACCTCTGTCGTGTTGTAAAAACAGCAAGTGGATTGAAAAGCTAGGTGGAAATCATAATGACATGAATATATTATGCATCCATATACACCCAGTACAGTCAAATAATAGACACTCTGGAAGACAAGAACAACTTCTAAAAAGAGAGCAGACCCCCAGAAATTAATTAGAAAAGTATCTTAAACAACATGCTATATTTTAGGACATGCACATGACTTGTGAGACACCATTAAGAATCCGAGTTCTTTGCTGTCTTTGAAAATTATATGAAACTAAAATTTATAAACTGAAACTTAAAAGTGATCACATTGCAATTTAAAGATATAAACTAAGGTCATGCCCATCGTACTGAATGTAATTACTTTCACATCTAAACAATGGGAAACACTATATTTAAACGTTCAATGTGTTGCATTAGGAGGAAGCCCCAATTAAAACTTAAGACCCAGATTGCTTTAATGCCACACTCTATATTTAAACGTTCAATGTGTTGCATCAGGAGGAAGCCCCAACTAAAACTGAAGACCCAGATTGCTTTAATGCCACACTGTTTATAAAGATTCGATTTTTAAGACTAAGACAGATCATACACAATGATGTAAGCCACTGCAAAATGTTTTCATATTTTGCTAAAGATTAGATTTTTAAGACTAAGATCATACACGATGTAAACCACTGCAAAATGTTTTCATATTTTGCCATGCACATTGCACAAATGTGTCACACGCACTTCTCCAGATTTATACAACATGCCATGTGCACGTGCTGACCTTGGGCACACACTGACTTCCCAAATGGCTGGAACCTGCAATAGCCACACAGGCTATGTAAAAGCTTGTGAGTAATTTCTAGGATTGTATGGTAAGGTAACATTAGGTGGAGTCAGGCCAGCACTGGAAGCTTTTTTCTGGGTACTGGCTCCAGCTCTGGGTGTGCACGGCTGGAGGGTGAAGGGACAACTGGCAGGCGCCTGCCTTGGCTTCATGTCTCCTTTTGACCTGAGGTGAGCATGAGGCAGCCCCACCAGCTGGTCACTACAGGCAGCAGCTTTTATTTGCTAAAAGAACAGCGTGACAAATCACACTACTAAAACCTGGCTAGCAAGGGAAAAGACAGACGATCTCAAGAAAATAAGAGAGCAGGTCAACGTATAATTTTCTGGAGATGACTGATGAAACATCACCAACCCCAACAGCCACCCTCTGCTCTCTCATCTTGAGGATCCAAACAAGGTGAGAGGAAGACAGGGTGCAGAGGGTTTCTTTGTTTTTTTTCAGCCACCCCGAACTACCGGATCTGCCTGCAAAGAACAACAACAAAAAAAAAAAAAAAAGCTGAAGTTATGTAAGTT